AGGTGGTCGGAGGTACATTCATCCCATGACCCGATCCCGACAAAACTCAGCCGGAATCGGCGTGGAAAAGTTTGGGAAGGGAATCAGCTGATCAATGGTCCAGCCATGGCACAGACAAGCAAACCGACAACGACTCCCAGATCACGTTTCCATCACTCCATACGTACCCGTCCATGCATTCGACAGCAGCGGATGGGAACTCGAGACTGCTAAGCCATAGGCAGGCCGCTCGGAGCTAGAGGACTATCGCAGATAGAGCTCTCGAAAGGAAGCGTGGTGTCTTCTCTCGTACACTCGATTTCTTCCCCTCAGCAAGAGACAGGGAACAAAGTCGAGCTTGAACTCGGAAACCGCTGCCCTAAATTTCAGGCTTCTGCAGGATCCTTGACGAGCAAATTGAGGAGGAAATCAAGGAGAAGCCTCCTCCTCCTCCCACGGCAGGTAGGTTTTCGCATTAAGCCCGAAGCCTCCGCTGTGATTCCCCCGGCGCCTCACTCAGAATTTCGCTTCGACTTGTCAGAGCTAAAGGATTTTGGGATCTTTTCCTCCAAGGGACATGTCGGCACCCGACTCGACAACCTTGGGGCCGTTGGACTTCTCAGTGCTCGGTCTGACTTTGATCATCTCGGCGGGAATCGGCATCTACTACAGATTTTCCGGTGGTAGACAACGGACGGCCAAAGAATACCTTATCGCCGACGGCAACATGTCGGTTCTCCCGGTAGCATTCTCGCTCATGGCGAGTTTCATGAGTGCTGTGACGCTATTGGGAGTACCAAAAGAGAACTATTTCCATGGTGAGGGAATTTCCCCTTTTACTGCACCCAGCAGAGCCGACTCCGGTCGAGGAATTCCTACTATATCTACTCGTACACATGATTTCGATTTCTAGGGACCGAGTTCTTCATCATAAACATAGCTTATATCATCGGGACACCGATAGTTTGTTTCGTCTTCCTTCCGGTCTTCTACCGACTACAGGTGGGCCTGAGGAGAAGCTTCAGAGAGAATCATCCTCTTCGATATATGTATCTCCCAGCGAAGGCTGAATCCACGTGACGGTCTTCTATTCTCATCGAATCCCACATTTCCAGCGAGGAATCAGCTTGACCAGCTAATGTCTGTTGCAGACCGTGAGCGTATACGGATATTTGGAGAAACGGTTCGGCAGACCTACAAGACTCCTCTCTTCCGGCATATTCATCGTTCAGATGGTGTTCTACATGTCGGTTGTGCTTTACGCTCCGGCTGTGACCCTGCAGGCAGTCACAAGATTGTCGAGGTGGTATTCGATCATTAGTGTCGGGATAGTCTGCACTTTCTACTGCACAATAGGTGAATTTCGAGGAGGAAATCGTAGAAGGTGACACAGAGAATCAACGGCCGGATCACTTGAGTTGAATTTGGATCCGGAAATATGATTGAGAAATCTTCCTTCGCGAAGTCTACAAGGCTCGAAAGACATCTTCATGATTCCAGGAGGCATGAAAGCTGTTCTATGGACAGATCTGTTCCAGTCGTGTTTGATGTTTGCTTCGATGTTCGCTGTGCTTATTGCTGGCACATATCGCCTTGGAGGCCTATCGAATGTGATGCACGAGGTCATTGAAGGTGGTCGGTTCAACTACGGCAGGTGAGTTCTGGAGACTCCTCGTGAGGATCTCGAAAACCGTCTCTTGTACTGATTTTTGAATGTGCTGATGACGACAGGGATTACTCCGATCGCGGACTGCTTCTCGTGGACGCTATCCGGAAAATTCACGAGACTTCTCCTACAGTTTCTCATTTGACCCCGAAGAGAGACACACTATTTGGTCTCTGGTTTTTGGAGGTCTCTTTGTATACATGTCGCTATATGGTGTGAATCAAGCACAGATCCAGAGACTCCTATCGGTCAAAACTCTCGCACAAGCTCAAAAGTAAGCGTTTATATCCTACTTATGCGACAGATCTAGGAACCTGTCTCCCTATCACGGGAACTAATGTAGCTCCCGCCTCGGCAACTTCCAGGGCTATGTTCATTCAGTGGCCTATCTTGACGATGTTATCATTCACGTCTTGTTTCACGGGACTCGTGATATATGCCAACTTCAGAGGATGTGATCCATATGTAACCGGGAAAATCCAGTATCCCGATCAGATTCTACCGTACTTCGTCATGAAATACCTGGGTAGCTCTTCTCTACTGCTCGATGAGAAAACTGATTCTGCCTGAAGTCACTTCAGATGACGAATCCGATTTACGCTCCTTTCCCCCTCTTTAGGGGGGATACCCGCTCTACCTGGCTTGTTCATCGCTGGAATATTCTCGGGTGCTCTGAGCACCGTTTCCTCCGCCATAAATTCCCTCGCTGCCGTAACATTCGAGGATTTCGTCAGGCCGATGTACAAAGAGGGAACAGCTCATGAGGGGCTCCTCATCAAAACCATCGGTAATTCAATGCCGCCGCGATACCGGTTGGTGTCGATACAGGCCGGTCAGTCCAAAATCTAGCATCATGGATATCGTGAAATGGTGGGACTCTCATACTTCAGCCCTATTCTACGGTGTGATCTGCGTTCTCCTTACGGGAATCGCTGAACGCCTCGGAGGTGTTCTGCAGGCTTCATTCGTGTTCTTCGGCGTTGGGGGAGGACCCCTGCTGGGCGTCTTCACCCTAGGAATGTTGTCACGGCGAACTGGTCAAAAGGTAAAATTCACGTCTCGAGAAGCATCAAACGAATCGTATCCTGGAACCGTGGTGAGCTTTCCGAACGGTTCAAATCGACGGAGAGACTTACTCAGCGGTAAAATATAAATTCGGTCTCTTTATCGCCAGGCCGCGCTGTCTGGGATCGTATCCGGTCTGCTTTTCGGACTCTGGATCGGTGCCGGTGCCCTGTTCGAGGCTGCGAAACCGAATATGCTTCCACTTGATAACCAGCGGTGCCCCGAAGAACTCGTTGTCAGGAACGCCACCCTTATTCTCTCGTGAGTGGAAGCTTCTTTGCCTATGACTAGTGTGTCTGAGCTGCATCAAATAATTTTCGCGTTTCTCACGCTATCGTTTGGCGTCAGGCGAGAACTTTTCCTCGGACAGACAAGATCTGGGTATATTGATGTCGAGTGAAAACTCATACCTTACCGAATCTAAATATGGCTCTGGATGAGGGAGCTTCCTGCCAGAGCAATAACCCTTGGAGTTGGGGTCGAACTGAGACCATAAATTCCGGTCTGACGGAATGGCAGGAAGCACTCCCAGGACTGTAATGAATGAGCTTGACGTGGCGTCGACGCTGAGGAAACGGTCGTTCGCGCCAGTGGCTCTCAACAAAAACGACTTCCGTCGCCAGAGCTGAGGGGGAATTTTGTCGATTCGGTTGACAACAGCTTGCTAGAGAGAGAGCTCGGAGTCTCGAACAACAATATTCGAGCGTGCCGCGCGGCTCTTATCGCAAAGGTCGAGGGAGAAATTGCGGCGAGCGGCTCGTGTCAAAGAGCAAAAGGTTTTGTCAAACTTGGATGGAGATATTCCTGGCAGCAACCTTTAGCCCGCCGGATATAGCTGCTTGCATCACGGAGCGGTATCGTTGCATGTCTGATTAAACGGCTCCTGGGAAGACGTCTCGCTTAATCCGCTCCCTAGACGGTACTCGATGGACCCCACGAGCGAGGTCTGGGGAGGGTTGGGCGCCAGTATCTCTCTCATCTCTCACAGAGGAATATGTACATATCTCTCGCGAGATGTTCTCACTGAGGGTCCGACGAACGAAATCCCTCCACCGTGATCAGGTTTTATCAACTCGTACAGATATGTACAAGTGAAAACATCCGGAGGAAGAGGGACGCCAGAAAAAACGCGCGCTACAATTAATCGCTCGACCGGTAGCGCGGAAATCAAGGAATCCCCTCGGCTGGCAAACGAACATTCGGCGATCATTTCCGCCTCATAGGCCAGCACGGCTAGCCAAGAGCAAGACTTTCCTCGATGATATTAATTTTGGCGCGGGACTTTTTTCCGTATTCAATGTGGGCTCCGTGAGGCGCTTATCGATAAGAAATTCGTTCATGCCGACCGCGGCGAATATTTTCGTCCGGAACGGAACCGATGCTGATTTTTGCACTCCGTGCTCCAATAGTGACTAGATAGCTCAGAGATACTCGTGGGGAGTAGATGTTTTCCATTCGATTCCCTGACACTCTCCACTTTGTTCCCTTAGCAAGAGCTGAGGCATCAAAATTCTTTTCCAGAAAATCCTGCAGCTGGTACCTCCCGCTATGTAATATATCCTACCAGTGGTATACGTTCGCCGCGTGGCTACCGACAGTGCTTGTCGGCTTGCTGGCCTCGCTCGTTTGGCCGAACAAACTACCGGACGTCGAGCTGTACCTGAGTCCCATACTGAAGCCCGAAGTCAGCTGCGGAAAAGAATCTCCGACTCTGCGGATGCGCCTCTGAAGTTCCATAATATTTTTGAAGGGGGGGTGGCGCATAGACTTTATTTTTGGCAGCAGGGGCATTCATGAGGCATTAGGAATGCGAGAATTTTAGGAATTCACACCCAAATCTTTGCTGAATGAGAGCTGTGATGGTGAAACTCGCTGAGAATACAAACAAAAGCGAGGGTGTCAAGTTTTATCACGAGTTGTTGCGGGCACCGTGCGCGGTTGCTCTCGAATAAAAGCGTTGTCAGGTTATCATGAGGTGATCACTGACTTTGCAGCTAAGTCTGCCCAGTAGGATAAATCATCACTTTTCTCCAAAGTCCTGGCGACCTTCCTCGCACTGACAGTACTGGAACTCCTCTTTCGTCGGTTGCTCGAGACACGTCGACTGGGGTGCGTCGACTGAGGCTTCTCGATTCCACGACGGAGATTAAGGATCCTTGGAGATTTCGATTCGCTCAGGATTCCGCACGCATCGGAGCGTAATTTCACGAATCGATGGCTCGGTTTTCTGCTATAACACTGACGGAGAGCTCCGCTGTTGAGATCAGCGTTGCAGTCGTTCCCAGTTCTCGAGCTCGAGCGATCGATGAGGAAAGTCAAGCTGACAACCGCGCAAGGTCCCAAGAATTTGAGGTGTAGCGCGACCGATCCTGAATAAGCTCAAAGCTTTTTTTCTTGACAGACACGCGGGGTCTCGATTGGTTCGAGGGATGGGACCAGACTAGAAGTCTTCCTCGGACGGCCGAATAGGTTCGAACGTGTGCTCTCACCCGACCTTCGCCCTCTCCTGGCGAGGGTCCACTGTGGTGGCGTGCAATAAGAGTACAGCCCCTTTAAACTTATAGCTGTCAGCTTCAACCACCAAGACCTATCAGTAACCAGTAGGCGACATCCGGAGGATTTGGTGTCAATTTTGCAATCGGTCGCATTGGAAATCGTCACAACTGGCTCCGGAATACAGGTGGGTTGCACAGGCCGGCAATCAGTTGGACTATCCGGAGCAGCAGCAACCGCTCGAAGCTCACCGTGCTTACCCCGTCGCACAGTTTCTGATGGAAGCAAGCACGACATTCAGGCACGCACTTATCATGCATGCGGAATTTCTGCGGAGCCCAATCGGTGTACCTAAATTTCAAATTCGGTCCCTGTCTTGTGCTCGGTCGCTTCGAGGGGAATCCGACTCCTTGATACAGCCATGGTTTTCCTCGAACGTCGCATACTCGAATTTCGCTCAGGTTGCTGTACAGGTCGACATTGGCACTGTTTGATTGTATCGACTTACTAGATATTCAACCTAGCTCATCCACCGGGAATCGTTCGATCTTCTCCGGGGATCATAATTAAAAATTGCCTTCGAGTTTCAAAAGTACCTTCAAGCTAGATCACAGGGAGAAAGACGAACTCTTTTGCTCAATGATCTCGGGAGCTTTCACTGGATTCGCTCGCTCCATGGGTCAATGTCTCGAGAGCGTAGGTTATCTCTGCTGGCGTCTCGAATAGCGAATCCTTCCCCCGTATTCTGATGTGCGAGGATCATTCCATTCGAGAAACGGTGAATCTAAATCGCACTCTTCCGTCGAAAGGAGCAAAGAAGCTTTCTCGTGGGCTCTCGTTTCTAGTTCGCCGCATGCACAAGAACATGGGGCACCTCTTATTTGTCCCGGGGACGATCGCTGAGCACATAGACAGATCGATCGAACCGAATTTCGAACGTGCACAGAGCTCTCGATCTACGACAGCAGGAAAATGAGCTTTCCCGAACAAGCTCGTCGGTGGGCGGACCGATAACGAGCTGGTTTGGCTTCAGTGCAGTGAACGTTCGATCAGGAAAGATCGCTGGAAAGAGATCTGCCCGTGGAAGCGCCGCGCCGTACTGCAAATTCACTCGGACCTAATTAGAACCAGGAAACAATTTTAGAACCCACGCTCCCGCTGGAAGCCGTGAAATCGCTGTGAACGTTCAATTCGGCCTTTGATTCCGAGGATAGAGGCACAGAAAAATGCTTAGTAGAGTCCCAAGTTCTCGGAATGATCCCCGCCGGGGGATTAATTGCTGTAACTCTTCCGTCAATATTCGTGCGATACTTCTACCCGCACCCGAGCGCGTCATCTAATGAGTCCTTATGCTCGAGATCGCTTGGCTGGTTTCACCATGGAATTCCATTGGATCGCATTCCGATAGTCTTGGGAAAAACATCGAAGGATCCCATGCACGGAACATACGTGCGATGCTAATTGATCATTCCATCGTCCTACTCTTTGGTGGTATGCTGCAAATGAGCATATGAGATCTCCGATCTATCGAGGCACCGAGCTATGCGGTATCTGTCAGAGGGCATTCGGAATCGATTACCAACTGTCGGCGAGCACGAAAGCTCTGACCTCGGATTTGACGAGAGAAGGATTTGTGGACTCGCTGCCGTCAACATCTTGTTGTCACGCCGAACGGTCGTCAGAGTCGAGATTTAGAGTGAGAATTCTCAGAAATATACTCGGTCCCTCTCTCGAGTGAGGTTATCCGCGATGTTGTCTTGCTTTCCTCTTGCACGCGATCTTTCACGAAGCGCTATGGAATACCTCAGTTCTGCGTTGGGAGAAATGAACGAACCCCCGTAGCTGTGATCAATTCTCAATGTCGAAGGGAACCAATCAGATTAGCATTGGAAACGAAGTGACTTGAGATGCTGTGGTTGCATCAATCGTTCCCCTGTCTAATGCCCTAAGAAGTCTATTCAAATCCGCTAGTCTGGGATCGATCTCTTTGAATACGTCGATAAGGGTGACGTAGTTCCTTCGAGGTGTGCTTTCAGCTGGTTACCAGCAGACATGCCGACCGTATCAAGGTTTGGGATTCGACACACATTCATTGTGCGACAGCTGTTCCTCACCCCAAAGAAGAGCTGAGGAACGTTTGAATTCCGGAGCGCTTTTCCTAGCCGTCAAAAATGCCTCATTGTGCCGAAGTCGATGGAGCCCTCGGTGAGTGTTCGATTCTTCCGCCCCATGTCTAAGCCGACTCCCGGGAATACACCGATCTTTAGTAAAGTTCCTGAATTTCGGATATTTCGGTTTTCCGTGGTTCGAACAAGCAAAGATCTGATGGCGGTATCCTGACTCGAGCGTCTCGCGCACCGACGGGAGAAACTCATCGGGAGCGATTCACTAGTGGTTGGGGTGATCGGTCTTCACCCCCCAAAGACGAAAAAAATGAATTGTTCGGAAATCAGGAATTCTACGTGGCAGCCATCACGGGGAAATCGCTCGATGCAGCTTGATCGAGAAAAAAGCTGCGAAGAGTCAGCCAGGATTCGCCTGGTAGCGTCCACCGTAGGTTTCCATCACTACCCGTAGAATTGATTTTATGGCGGACTTCTCCGGGATGGGGAATAGGACTCTCTCGTCCCGTCCGGCAACAATCTGTCGAATCTCAGCTGTTAGACTTTCCTGTGGGGATCATTCCGGCTACATCGATATCATGCTTTCATGTCAAAAAGGTCAGAGCGGAACCGAACGGAGCACTTCCGAGAGAGTCACCATCATATCGAACAGGCCGCAGATGTCGTCCATCTCAAATGTGATGATTTGAATTAACGACCGGTACACCCGCACAACACTGCAGCGTATATTCGACGACCGCGAAGAAGGAAGTGGACGAGCGTCGATGATAATCCGTCATGAATCCGAGAATCAGATTTTAAGTAGGACTAATGCTTGAGATCCGATGATTGGCCCTGTCGTGATAAGATTCAGCTCTCGAGCCGAGTGGGTCGAGCTCGGTCTCGGCCCGGGCCGCCGCCTGGTCCCATAGTGAAGCGCTTCTCGCGGCAATCAGCGATCTACAATGCAGCGATTTGATCTCTACACCCGTGGCCTCTATCGCGCAGGGAGCGCTTCGAATCATTTGAGGGACTCTCAGCGAGGGCCACGCTGCGGCAGTCCTTCAAAGATATTTTTCCTCGAGTACAATCCGGTACTGCTTTTTTCATCGCGATCGACCCGCTCGAACCGAGGACGGTTGTGTCAGAATTTCGCGGAGCCTGTGGACTCGCGGCTCCTCTCTTGCTCGCTCCTGCTCCGATACGCATACCTTGCGTCGGAAAATATTGCATCATGTCAGCTTCCAATGTCAGGCGAGTTCGAGTGAGATATTCGATGTCAGGAGGACGTTCGTACGCATCTTGAATATTTCACCAGAAATGCGGTCTCCGATAAGGGGCAGCTGTTGGAGGATTGATGTAATAGATGGGCAGTTCTTAAAGACGGGCTTTTCCGAAGCTAGGGAATCAGAGACTCAAGTCGCGGAGAGCTGTGGCTGAGTGAGGCCGGTCTGTGTGAATACCCAGCATGCGTGCGAGAATACTTATTTGATTGATTCAATGTGGTATACCAGTACGAGTGACCGCACTCAATTTTCTCGTTGCTTAAGAAGAGAAATCGACGCGCAGTTTCCAACAGACGGGCATTCTCCGATGAACGGGCAGGTTTCGGACGATTGGGAAATAGACGGGAATGTCGTGCGATCCGAATATCCACGGTATTATGAATCAGCATGAATTCCTTGCCGTGAATGAGCTCCGGAAGTCCAGTGTGGGAGGAGACTTGCGCTGCTCCGTCGCGTCGTCTGGACCTAGGTCTCGCTCTGAGCGGCACCGGCGATTCAAGATATTCGGAGTGCGGAATGACCTCGAAGGCGGAAAGAATCGGTCCTCACGCGAGCAACATCCACGGAGGACAAGCGGAAACTCGCATTCGGACCAAAGCACCTCGAATAAGCAGGCTCTCGATCTCGAATCTCGACATGGATGTTGAGCAATGACATATGGAATGGCGGACTTGAATGCGGTGAATTTAGGGTTGTGCTTTTCACTGTGATGTGACTCGCGGAACCGTCAAAGGGATTATTAATCCCTCATCAACACGGTCGTGTCCGGGAAGACCTAGGGACTTACGAAGGAATCCAGTTTTGGGTTCTAGAAGACTTTCGGAAAGGAGGTGGAGAGGTAGATATTCCTCCGTGGAATGAGCATAAAGATTCCTCTACCCTGATACTGACAACTGATTCCCGAGTGTTCTTTCCCCGTCAATCGAACCAATTCTTCCCCCATAAGCTAGTAAGCTCAGAACGGAATATCCCGCCCCGAAGCTTCTCTTTCCGTGAAGCGGCACATCGAATCGTTCCGGACTTCACCTCCGCTTTGGTCTTCGCTTTCCGTGAGCTATCCGATCGCATCGATCCCGTCTCATTCTCTCGAGGCTTGCAAGAACCGTCGTATATTATCACGGATGGCAACACTTCTCCGCGGTCCTCGTTTTGGGTATGCTGCTAAATCGAGAACAAGCGCCGCGAGGTGCCGAGAGCGAGTAAAATAAATGTCAGAGAAATCGGGGCTCGTCGAAGACACGGGATGTCGGCCCACGATGCGAGCTCGGAGAAGTATCGAGCTCTCCTTGATTCTCCTTGGGAGCATGCCTTCCGCCTCCCTGAAGAGAGAACTCAGCTGACTCAGCAGTCTCATAGCGCCGCAATGTAATTACGGAACTCAGAGCAGTCGCAGAAGGGATCGCAAGGTCACCGAACGGCTTTGACATCGTTGCCGAGCTAGTCTCGCAAACCTATACGCCGGCTGGAATTCTCCTGAGCCGCCGCTGCCGGGATGGAGATTCCAAAGAATTCGACGCAGAGAAACTCGATATCGATCTATAACTGGGGATTCCGGGACGGACTCGGAATATAGCTTGCTGAACTCATCGAGCATATCTCCAATGCCATGTTCACGACCGCAGGGGCTGTCGCAGAGACGTGTTGATAGAGAATCCTTGTTTCATGACTGGCAATCACGATGCATGGTTGACGATCGCCGATGCGATCAGACGCTTTCCACAAAGTACTCTCTCTTGTTTGGAAAGCCGCTTGAAAGTGCGGCTTCACAGAAGTAGGAAAAAGTTCTGTCAGCCATGCCGTTCGGATGCTGTGCCGGGAAAAGTAGGTCGAATGATGGTGTCAATCCAGATGCGCATCCTTCTGTTTGTAAAAGCTCAAATTTTAGAATACTTGGTGGTCTTGATCAGAATCTATCGAGCTCATCCGGAAGTCTCTCTGTCGGAACGTCAGCCAGAGCGTGTGCCAAACAACAGGGAAAAATATGAGATCGATGATCTCAGTGTGGTACGATGAATTTGTCCACGTCGATCATGTGGCGGCTGTTTCCGCCAAGTCTTCCATTATTTGGCCATGCCATTTTCGCTGTGTCGGAACGTCCCGTATTCATGAAGGGAATAGAATGATACCTACCCGTTTGAATATCGCAGGTGGCTGTCCAGAATTGCTTGCGGGTAATTCTTCGAGCGCTGGATAAAGTTATTCCATTCCGTCTCTATTCCCAGATGCCATGGGCAACAAGGTGTCGCCGAGCCCGGACGACCTCCCGCCCGTCGAAGACTCGTACGAGCTACTGTGCAAAGATGGCAAGCGGAAAATTTGGTGCAAACAGTGGAAACCCAACAATATAGAGAAAGCGAGGTAAAGTACTCTGTTTTGGCATCAGTTCCCATCCGATGAGCATCCGCTTCGATTCACGAGGAAGCCGGAGGAGGTCCTTTCTTGCACGTCAATCTTCAATTTCCGCCTCGCGCCTCCCCCCAGTCTCGCGGAACCAGCATCAGACAGCCATTCAAGCGTGGATGATCCGCCCTTAGGAAGTGCTCAATGGGTCTCATTGCGCGTTTCCCCTCCCCAACGGTATATGAATGTGAACTTTCCGTGACAACAGTTTGAGAAATAAGAAAAATTCAAGATTCCACCACTTAGGCTTAGCCAGTGTGACCGCATTCGTGACCGCATCGCGCCGCGAGCCGGAGCACGTTCGTGTTGCGAGTTTCTGGTCTCCAATTTACGCAGAGTATCCTGTATCATCCGAACGATCACCGACCGCAGAAACTTCAGATGAGGGCAGAACAATCATCCCGACGTTCGGAGCGATGTTTCTCCACATTCGTTCTCTTTGCTGACTCGGGCAATCTCTAATTTGGAATTTCGGCTCAGATGCTCGCTCGCAGCGTTGCAGCAACTGCTGGAAAACTCTTGGGTGTCGGTCGAAAACACCTGTGTTCCGCCGGAGCTGACTCAGTGTGGGTCTAAATCAATAAGCTCTCAAGTGAAGAAAAACGTGTCTCCTCTCTTCGAATCTCGTTACCCCGCCGGAAGACGCCGGAAGAATATTTAGCGCCAGCAAACAGGAAAAATCGCACCTGCTCCCCTCGATTCTCTCCCCAATTAAGAGCTTCACGCGCTCAGCATACGCGGCTCGAATACTCCGAGAGCTGGACCTTGGACTCCAGACTTTCCTCAGTTTCCATCTCTTCGTCTTTCTCTCCCTCTATGTAGAGGTTCTCGTAACACGGAACATGTACCTTAGGAGCTGAGAGTGGCAATTTCGGTGTCAGCTGCAGGGAGCAGCAGGAACAGAGGAGGCTTCGGATGATTAACTCCCTCTGGCCCCGGTACGTTCCTCCGTTCTCAATCTTCGCCATTCTTCTGTAACCGCTGCCGGCGCTGCCGCTCCGTTTCCTCCGTTCATTTTCCTGTCTGACGACGATTGAGAGCGACAGAATACGACTCTGCCGGTGCATAGTTTCGAGATGCCCGCACTGAATACGGTCATCGATAACGAAAAAGTCTATCGGACGCTCCACTCGACGCGATTCTGAAGTACGCTGTGGGAAGTTTCCCATCATAAGACTGAGGCGTGCGTTGTACCAGAAAAACTGTTGACACTACTGGAGTCTGAGCTCCGTGGCGTTGCGCTCGTTCGTCGGCTACCTTCTCGGCGAGCCTTGAGTTTTCCAGTCGGCTGGTCGCGGGTCTTCCAGTGCTCGCCCGCTAGCGTGCAGGGAAAATCCGCACTCCCCGAAACGTTCCTTCCGGACGGGCGATGACCTTGAATGCTCTCCCTGAGCGACCTTGGGAATCGACGAAAGGGAACACACGCCGTTTGCGATGACCTGCCGTCTGGAGTCTCCGTTGCGGCTCGCTCGTATAAATTGATCTCGTAAATCATTCAGCTCCATCAAGTTGTCATCTGAGAAATCTGCTCCAATTCCTGTCTCAGTCAATAATACCCAGACGCTCGCCGCGAACGCATCGGTATCTCTCGTTCATTCGCTCGCTGTGCGCGGAACATCGGTATCTTCCCCGCGCCATTCTACCATCAGTCGCTTGTCCGGAGCCCTGCGGCATCGGAGCTCCCCGTTCGGGCTGGTCGTCGGCAGAGAGCCAATAGTACAGAGCTCTCGAGCATCACTTACCTCGAAACTTCGTAACCAAGTGCGCGGCGGGGAGTCGGAAAATCTAAAAAGGGCTGCGCATCCCAATCAAAGATTTGGGTTGGGCTTCTCTAGGCTGTCTTGAGCGAGAAGTCGCCACGTCGGCGTCGGATCGACGTGGAGACCCAGCTACTCCTCGCGGATGAGTTCCAGAGACCCTTCGATGAGCCGGGATCGTACTATGGATAGAGACACATGCCGGAGTAAATCCCCGAAGCCGTGGTCTCCCTCCGGAACGAATGCATCGCGAGGAGCCGGAGATTAGAAGAGGCCAATCGACGAGCCACATGAGGGATTATTCATTCTTTCGATGATTCTCAGATATTCACTCATTCACCAGGGATTCGAATTTCTCTCCCTGTAGTGATTATCGATCCAGGCATCTGATCCGTCAGATTGCCGAAGTTTTTGCTCGGGCTGTTTATGCTGCCATCCTGGACCGCTCGAAGCTCCATCCTCAACGGAGGATAATCTAGCAAGGTCGCCACATCATATGCTCCCCCTGAGGTCATCGAGACTCGCGCAGAGCCATGGAGAAATCAAGGGGGGTCTTGTTCCGTGATATAGCGAACCTTGCGCTTGCTGAGGCATAAATCCTCCCACGAGGGAGCCGCGCGGCCCAGGAACACAGAGAAAGACTCTAATGATACAGCCATACGTTTTCCTCGTGGTCTGACTGGACCCTCGTCCCAACTCCAATTTGTTCATCTGTCCCCTCGTAATATCGACCATTCGTTCTGAGTGAGCTCAGAGGATACTTCGGCCATTACGAATGGCGGAAGGTTTAGCCTGTCTGGTGCGTCCCTGTCCTGTGACGCGCTGGGAACACGTCGCATCGTAGTGACCTTGAATCGATTTTTATCCTCTGCTGGGGTCGTGACAGAGTGGATGGGCGTCAACGGGAGCGAGAGCCACAAAAATACGGAGATGAACGCTTTATCGGAAGACACCCATTCGCGCCGGAGACGGAACTCATTCTGGAAAATGGAGCCACTTGGAGCGGAAAAAAAGATCCGAAGCCAGAGGAAACGGCTCCCGGGAGCAAGGAGATCGGTATGAGTCCTGTGGGACGTTGGTTTCAGACGTTCAGGAAACTGGAACAGAGCGATCACGTACACGAGCTTATTGCCGAGCATTTTTCAGGCGGAAGAGGATCGCCGAGAACTCGTTTATCGAACTCGGATCGAGGCTCATCCAGGGCTCATGACGGCTCGAGCCAATTTCCCGGTTCAGTGCGACCGAGAGGTCTCGAGGGTGGAGACAATAATTTTCCAATCTCCGTGTTCCTCGGAATCACCGGGGAAATCATAGCGGGAAAACAGTTCCGAAAAGCGTGAGACGTTATTTCTTTCCATGGAAGACTTCGGCAGTGTACCCTCTAACTCCTCGGTTTGTTGATCTTCCAGATGTGCCATCTACATCTGCCACGGCTTGGGTGAACACTGCATGGTGTACGACTTCATCGCAAAAATTTGGGCGCAGAAATACGATGCTCTTGTGATGGCCAACGACCACAGTGAGTACCTCATCGAATCGTTTATGATACGGCTCCAACACGGACCGCGCCCCGTGGAAACGAGCCGTGCGAATATTCAAGTCGAGTCGTGACGCGAACTCACCGGCTCGTTTATCGGAGATGAAGAGTTCGACGGCTGATCACTACCCTCATCACGATGAGATATTATCGTAATCGTCACCTTCGTGCTGAGGTGACGTTTTCGACTGTCTGATGGGCTCTAATCGTGATCACTATGCGTGTTTCAGTGGGTCACGGAAGGAGCGAAGGCCAACCCCGCGCCTACACCGACAGTCTCTCCACATTCGTATCGGACGTGCACATGCATATAGAAGAGGCTTATCAGAAATTGCAAAAAACTCCCGAAGAGCTGCCGCTGTTTATTTTTGGACACTCGATGGGAGGCGCAATCTCCCTGCTTCTCGCGCGGGAGAATCCTAAACGTATCACTGGAGGGCTCATGCTCATGGGACCGCTGATAGAATACAGGTTCGTAATAGATGATCGGCTCGAACCGCTAGAGCTAAATAAACTGATCTGAGCCTCAGCTCGGGCGGTGAGCTGGTGCGCTCGAGCAGAAAAGCGTACAGTTGATGCCCCAAAAACCCTTGGAATCCGGCGAGCCCTGCCGAGAGCCTCCGAGTGCCTGTTCTTTGACTGCGAATTTTTCCCGGCCATTGTTTTCCATTGAGGGCGACCACAGGCTCCGGAGTCGGCCGCCTTGTTCTCTGCTTCGCTGATGGAATCGCTTCGTCGAGCGCCATTCTGATCGGAATCCTCATGAATTTAATCCGGTGTCATTACAAATGATGCTGCACTCCCTTTATATCCGAGCACGGGAGCGTGTGCATGAACAACCGTAGTCCTTTCTGATTCTAATCGAGGTCGAGAGACTCGTCGCGTCGGTGCAGAGGCTCGACCGCTCCCGCGAAAATCCTCGGAGTCAAAATAAGGTCCCCCTCGAATCCGCGAACTTCTTTTCGGGCAAGGTCATCTTACCGAACGACGCGAAGGTCCGCTTCACAGGCTCTATATCCCGGTCGGATGACGAAAGTTTACTTTTCACTGGAAGTGGATCTTCATTTCCAGCACATATAACCTGGCGAACCTCATAAAGTACCATTTGACGAAGACGATTGGGAGCATCCTACCCGCGAACATGCCCGCTTCGCCTTTACTGTATACAGACTGCGTCTCGGAGCCGGAGCAAGCTGCGGAATTCAATAAGGATCCTCTACGTTATCATGGATGGATACGATTCGGAATCGTTCGCGCCATGTTCAAGGCGGTCGAAGTTAGTGAATTCTGCTCGTAATGGGCGAAACTTTCGACCTTCAAGCTGAATGCTCTAATTTGTGATCGGAGGCGTCCGGGGCTCCCTCGGTATCTTCCTGGAGAGAAATGAGAGTTCTTTCCACTAAAAACTCGTTCCGCTCGCCTTCGCAATGCAGGAAATCCGGGACATGGCCGACAAGTTCGACGTCCCGATATTCCTTGGACACGGCACAGCCGACAAGCTCTGTTGTCCCACGGCGGCTCAGATCTTCATCGACAAGGCTGCTTCGAAAGTGAAAACGCTCAAGGTCAGCAGTTCGATAACCTCTCCCTTCCCGCTCCGTGAAACTAATGGCGAATAAGTGAATATTTATCTAGGCAGTTTTTGTCTTCTCTGCTCCCCACTGGTGCTCTAGGAGTCCGCTTTCTCGCTCGCCTCCCGTCGTCCTGGTACCCCTACACGCACTTACTTCATTCGCCGGTCGGTCGGTCGATCAGACTATAGCGAATATCGCTGTACCGGGGGAATCGGCGGACGAGAGTGGACGCTGTACATAAGAAGCAGAAGAAGCTATCGGCCTTGACTTTCGGCGCTCGCCGCCGCGCCGAGTGAATTTGGCTTCGGCCCAAAAGCCAACGAGAAACTGTTCACAGTTATATCAACGATTCATAATCCTGACAGCCAGAGACGCGCTGACTGGCTCTCTTGTATTGACTCCCATGACGGTACTTTCGTTTTCAGATATACCAAGGTGGCGCTCACTGTCTCTTCCACGAGTTCAAGAGCGGAATCCGCAACGATCTGATCCGTGATCTGGACGAATGGCTGCACGATCGCATGAAGGCGACGGGAAGCTAAGCAGAGTTGGAAGTTATCGGATGCCTTACGGCCAGCTTCTGATTGAAGCTGGATATCGCCAGACTCCATTATTCAAAGTTCCCGTCATCGCGGTGACGACTTTTGGCGACTCTGAATTGATTATTATGATCCATACACTTATGATTCAAATTTCTCAAGCACCTCGATGTACACTCCGTGTTCTCCCAGACCTTGAAAGTAATCGACACTATCTACTGTAAAATATGGCAGAATACCAGGGACCAGAATCGACTTCCAACCAATCCAAAAAGTTATGTGAATACTATGAAGTCGACTGAACCTCTATCCCCCTGGCAAATAATCCTTTGGGAATCGCGGACATCAATAGGCTATGGTTTTCAGCTAGGCTAGCGCTAGGTATTAGCCAGGCATTTTTCTGGAGGACCTATGCGGGTCGTGCAGGCTACGAATGCGCTCACCTTGACACCTATCCACGAAAAAAATACTAATGTATTATTTCCTGTGAATAGTGTACTGAAGCACGTTAAAGTTTTGTACCTACACAGACAAGGTCTTCGCAAGAGATCATCGCCCGGTCATGAACTCTATACGGGGAGCATCGAAAGCCAATGATATCAGGGGGGAACTCACACAGACAGCAATAATGTAGGAACAAAAGACCTAGGACACCGATGGAAACAATTTTCTATGAGAACTTTTGCACCTCTGCTCTTGCAGCTGGAACTTGTTCGCTGTTGACTGCAAGAATAAAGTCAAAACTCTTCGCAGAAAAATGTTCGCTTTTTTTCTCTTCAGCTCAGTTAAATATGTACACATGATAACCCTTCCAGAGGGATCGGGAATAAATAATATGATTTCCAGTCTTCGTGGGTCCGTCCGAAATATGAAGATTTACACGTATGGACATGGTATATTTACATAAGAGATCAGCTGTGATGGCTCTTCCTCCTCGACGCGAACACTTCGCTAGCTGCTCATCCGCGTCATCGCACCAGACCACTTAAGCGTAAGGTAGCCCTGGTCGAAAGCCGTTCTTGATTCCTCGGTTAATTCTGTCCTCTGGATGCGACCGCGGACTAATTTTCTCGTCGCGTCGGCAATACCAGGCATGCCAGAGTGTGGCTCCTAGTTGATAGGGCTTCCAGAGGGTCAGCCCGGGAAAATTCGAGCTTTTGGAATCGCACTCAGACGCCAGTCAACGAGGCAACTCCTTCTAAGCAGCTCGGGTCTCACAGATAGACTTTGTTGCTCTTATTGGGATCGTGTTGCACCTCGGGACTTTCCTGCGGGGACTGAGAGTTTCCGTAACACATCGGATTCCTATCCTGGTTCTGACTGAAGGACATCGTGAAGACTTTCTCCAGGAAAGACTTTGACAGTCTTCTGATCGGGCTCTCGACGAACAGGTAGAACAACACGGATATCAAGATCACGAAAAACACGTTCGTGACGAACAGATTGAACTGAAAGAAAAAGCTTCACGCTTACCGCGAGCTCGGATTTCTTCCAACGGGCGCTGCATCGGCCCGACACGTCCCTCACATGTGACGGATAGTATCGGATCTGAAGAACGCAGACTCACCACGGTAGCGTGACTCCCGTAAAGCCTCTCCCGAATGGTCCATTGATTGTGGTAAACAACCAGAGGACTCAGTAGGAACGCGCTCAGACTCAGTCTCGAAAGCGGTATCCAAGCTCTCCAACTCAGCAGGCACTCGAGAGGTTTCGCTTGACCCGAAGCGCAAGCCACGACGATCCAGGTCAGACCCAAAGCCCATGAAGATCGGTGACCGGCAGCGTATATGAATTTAACGAGATCCGAGCATTCATCCGCCGCGTATTTTGACCACGTCCACGGAGCCAAGACCGTCCACACCATAGTCACTAGCGCTAACGGCCAAGTGATAATTCTCGTCACCTGTGGAAACTCTAACCGTTTAGTCGGAGGATTCACCTCTGGAATGCTCCCTCCAGAGAGATTGCTCCCCGGGCAGCGGGTCGCCCTGACTCAATATCAAGGTGATTCTGTCCGAAAGATTGGGGTGGAACCCTGATCTGTCGGATGTGTGATAGGACATCCGACCGAGAGAGCGCAGAACGCCGCGCGTGCGTCGTTTCGATCCAATGCAATGCTACGGCAATATACCCGTGAGATGTTCCAGGAAAATCTACCAGGAACCGCTCCTCATTCGGAGTCGGAGTGAGTCGAACTTCTCGCTCCGTCTCGTGGACCCCGTCTGACGTGATCCCGTCGATACGAGGATATTCGAGGAACTCTTCCGTACCATTCGGAACCTCATGAACGGGTTCGTTGCGATCACGTAACCGGTGCCTATGCCGATAGTGAAAGGACCCGCGTGCGTATAGGGTCGCATAAAAATGTCCGACATCATGAGCGAGACGGTTTTGGGATCTTCCAGGGGCAGGATGGTCGGTGGATAGTTCGACAGCACAGTTTGTACGCCGACAATGCAAGAAGTGGCGACAATCACGGCAAAAGCGACCACGGTGCCCATGGCCGGTTTCCTGGGGAAGATTTCATTTGTGGAGTCGTGCAGGTGCTAGATCTGGAATGGCATCAGGAATGACCTTTCCTTCCCTACGAGGAGGGCCAGTTTCGACTTCATACTCACTTGATCAGAAGCAGGATAACGAACAGGAGACTCATTTGAAGCTGCCAATCCGCGCTCAAGAACCACAAGTTCGGGGTGCACTGGAAATTGCGAGGAATCAGGCAGAGAGACACGACAAGATTATCGTCCGAGAGAGACTCTGTGAGACGCGGCGGTCGTAAGTCATTATCGGTCATGGACCTTTTTTGAACAGTTTTTCAGACTACCAGAACATCGCAGCTCAACGCGGCGGCCTTCCCTAGGCTCCCTGGCGAAAATACAATGTCCGAACGAAAGTTCAGAAGCAGGAGTGTCTCGCTGCCAATTTCTGGAGGAAACTCTTATTCATTCCGCTAGCCGTTGCTCACGCGACGTTCGTTAGAAAAAAGCGTCCGTATAGACCATGACCGATCGCAACGAGGAAAAACGCACGGGCGCCTTGGAAATCCCGAGACATTTCCACCGACGAACTGGACGGTCTGGCATAGCGACCGACTTCAAGATGAGCATGTCCATGATGGGGTCCAATGGCACAGCTCGTGGCCTACCCGTGAGCGAGCCGCGAATACGGTGCCGCTCGCAAGCACTGCATGCCAGGTCAAATCCAGTCCGAGAAGGTTCAAGCTCGTAAAGTGTCAGAGCTTCCGATGTTTCTCACCATCTCGTCAGTAGGCATGAAGTTGTTGAAATTCATCAGAACCGGCAGCCAGTTGGTCTGGCAGCTTTCGGTCGCGATCAGAATGTTCTCTCGCCATACGGGGCCGCTACCCAGGAGTGGGAGTACGGAGAAGAGCCCGACGACAAACAGGGCGCAGGCCGTCAACCTGGAAACCACAGCCTCAAGAGTACTGTCCGACCTCGATTCGTATGTTCGATTTGATTGGTCTGGAGTTCGCGAATTTCCACCCTCTCTACGAGCCAGATCTGGAATCAGGGAGCTCGTCAAGAATCAAGTTGCGATCCGGGAAACCCACCTGATGAAACGATGAATATACTGTGCAGAGATCGCCTTGTAGTTGAAGATTTTCGACGACGCATGGTTAGCTGAGATTTGATAGCTCACTACCAGACCACTGGGAAGGAGGATTCAGAGGAAACTGTCAAATTTTTGATCGTCCATCGCTTCCTAAATGTAATTCAGGAGTGAGAAAGTAACCATGACTTCATCCTCCTCTCTGCGGCCTAATCCAGTTACCTCATGAAGAAAAAGTTTTCAACTGCCATGAACCCGTTGGCGATGAAATGGAAAGGAGGTGAGCTCATCGCCCTTATCAAAAACGCAGCGTTTCCTGAAAGCATCTCGTGCTTAATTATCCGGGAAGCAATACTATTTCAATTGAGTGATTATATTCATCGTATACTTCCCGGAAATGCATTGATTATGCGATAAATCGACTGGTGTTTATTTAATAGTCATTCGCGGAGGAGACGATATGAACAGAACTGTCTCTCCGCAAGAAGTGATTTCCTAGATTGATCGAGAGCTGCTCTAGATCTCTATCTGATGCAATCTGAGGCAAGCTGGTCTTGCCACCGAACATCCGAAGATTCGAATACAGCTTTCGATTCATATTTCGCGAGTATGGATCCTGTCTACGTCCTCGGGAGGGAATACTCACGCAACGATCTCAGATCAAGATACCGGTAAGACTGACAGTATATGACCCACAGGAGACTCAGGACTCTCAGACCGTGGAGACAATTCAAGTTTCCCGGTGATAATTTCCTTCTGGAGAGAAGATGAGCCATATTCTGCCTGAGATCGAAGGCAGTAATCGCGCCTGCAACGCGAAAGAGACTTTCAGGATTGAATCGAGGAAGATCGCCACATATCGCTCTACAGAGCCTCCGTCAGCGGGACCCTGCGTTGCTCATTCATTTATCATCGGAAGAAAAATGATCGAAGCTCCACTGGTTTGATGTCTTCTCCGATCATTCGTTAGATTTCGCCAGTGTACATCCGGTCAGATCCATCCGCCCGCGGCGGATCCATTCGTCCACGAGCGGACGAGCAATGAATTGCGCTTCAAAAGGGGAAGCATTTGATGTGTGATGTTGTATGATACCATCCAGTGAGCTTTCTCAAGGTCGATCGCCAATTATCACTGTCTGCTTGATGCTTGTCGGGGTTACTCTCAGATCTTTGCGCCGACGTCGCGTCGCCGACCCGAACATGAGAACCCGGAACGCGACAAGAGATCAAGTTCAATGCTCTAGTCCAGGGGTGTCGGACTTAGATTTTTGGCGGGCCAAATTCAAGCGCCGCAGGTGCCCGCAGGCCACATTAAAAATTTACGTTCGTATAAAAGGAGAATATGTGCCTATGGTCCATGTAAGTATGCTTTTCCACCCTCCGGGGATTGAGGGAAAGTTCGCCTGTCCGGTCTTGCTGAGAGATTAATTCCACCGATCTCATCCATTTCCGAGCACTCATTGGAAATGGTCGGCTCAGAGTTATGTGGGAAACTAGTGGCGGGCCACAAAAAGAGACCTCGCGGGCCACATCGAGGTCCGAGGACGAAGGGTTTGACATCCCTGCTTTAGTCTTTCCAGACATGGATCCTCGGTGGGGAGCTCACCTGGGAATCCATCGAGCCTGCGGCCTTGAACGGAAATCACTCGCGACCCGCGAATCCATTCCGACTAATGACAATTATATTCTTCTGTGCTACTTGACGCGAATTCTCAAGCTGAAAGTTGTTGCCTCATCGCCGAGAGGCAGCCTTCGCGGCACCGAAAGAGGAATCCGAGGAGAATGAGGTAAGCATAAATCTTCTGAAATCTGAGACAGAGTCCATCACCAGGAAGCCTATCACCGTCTTTCGGTCCGCGCGATTGGGGTAATTGGAGAATGTCCCGTGTCTGGGGATGTCCCGAAGCGTCCTGTACATCTCGATATGGTATAAAGTTGGTTTGACTCGATCGGTTCCGCTCTCTGGGCTGGGGAATCTCGCGTGAAGGACAGGTATGGTCGTCAGGCGCGAACTTCGCGAAAACAATCCGTACCACGGGCAGCGACACGTAGTTTCCTACTGCATCAAGTGATTCGTCAACATCTTATTCCGTTTTCCGTCTCTTCCCCCGAAATAAAGATCCCGCGGAACATCCAATTTGGAGATGTGGCAACACGCCGAACAGTGAAAGAGTGGGAACCATCTCCGTGAGTTCTGACAGGCGCTGCGTCGACCCGTAAGGGACAGCCGAAGTGAAAAACACGAAGTCTCGCCTAGAAAAGCGCGAGGAGACTTTCCGATGTCCGAGTTCCAGGTGCTATTGACGTTTCCGGGCATCTCTTCGAGCGAAAATCCACGACGAAGATTGCTATCCGTCAGAGAAACACACATGGGAGAGGATCTTGCTCTGTTGACGGAAGAAATGAACGAGAGGATCGTTACCGTGGACATTTCGACCGGAAGCTGGCATGGAGCTTGTATCCGAAGCATCATCTGTCAATCAGCTCGAGTCCTAATGTCAGGAAAGCGTCGAATGATCGACTTCAGCCTGTCAGCGAGCAGTCCTCTTTCCGACCGCTCCGCGTGAAGCTCAAGTCGGTCTTAAAACGTCGCGAGGACTCGGGGGATAATTATTCGATGAGCGAGTTTTCGTCTGTTTGACAGGCGAGACAGACGGACGGAATCACACTGACGGGGTCTTGTGCGCGAAATTTTCATAAGAAAAGATTCATCGAGAGAGACTGATCGAATGGAAATTTCGGCCACGTATGGACGATGATGGGGAGCAGGAAGGGAGGAACTCCGGAAACTTCCTCAGAACGTTCCTCGAAATAACTGCGTCAGGCTCGAGCTGGGCCGATCGACTCACCTTCTTGGCATTCTCCGCGGATCGATCTCGGCAGCGTCTGAATCAGAGTTCCCACAGCGACGAGAAACACTGACACCGTCATGAAACAGCTGTAATTTCACGCGGATGTCATCGAATAGATCGGGTTCCGCTCCTTGAGAGAGAATCTTTGGGCCACGAGCGAACTCACATGACAAAAAGTTGCTGCGTATCTAGAGCCAGAGGAACGTCCTTCGATTCGCAGCCCACAACTTCGATCTTAACTCGCAGACTCCTTGATATCGGCTGCAGCATGCGAGAGACGTCTGGAATCGAGCACGTAGACGGTGTGCAGATGCCCAGCCGGAGCTCGAACGGCTGATGCACTTTGTGGTAGGTGAGCAGGACTTCTTTGTACACCTGTAGAGGTTCGACAAAAGATTTGGATGAGACAGTCGAATCGATCTGGCTGAAGCCTAGAGAATCCCGATGGGTCTCGCTTCGGTGATCGATTCCGTTCACGAAGAGAATGAACCGTCTCGCTGAGGAATTGACCATTTTATGCGAGTCCGGGGACAGCGTCTCTCAGCTCCGGTTGTGCTTGGTCGTGGGCGATATGTCCCGGAAGACTTTCCAACGGAAAAAATCAGCGACTATTCTCGAGAAAAGCTTCCGACGACCTTGGGCACGTGAAACGTGTGAATAAGCTCCTACAATCCCCGGTGGGCCGCATCCTCAGCGATGGACCCCTGAGCTCCCAGCTGTGAGAATCCTCGCTTCGTCTCGAATGCGGGTCAATTAGAAATCGGTTGCGAACTCACACTGGTCGCGTTGAGCAGCTCTTGCAACTTGTGGCTCGAGTGCTTGTTGAGAGGGGGTAAAGCTGGCGGTCGGATAGCGACATTACAGTGCTGTCCGCGAAAATCCACGATTCCGCTCGGCTCCGTAGATTCTATGGACAAGCACTGGTCATAGTCCCCGAAATCGCTCATTGTGACGTCCATGATTCCGGCGGCAGGTCTCCCGATCGAGTCTAGAACTGCATCGAAACAGACTGTTTTAGATTTAGAATGGTGATGGTCGTCCGATCGTATCGGCCAGGGGAAGTTTCCATCAGTGGCTAGGGAGTGAAACGTTGGAATCCTGTTCACGATCATGCCAAGCTCGACCGCGCTGGGCAAATCCATATATCATGGGTAGGGCTGGGCATTCATCGCGGCATTTTTTCCGGAAATTCGCGCATCCATCGCGGCATTTTTTCCGGAAATTCGCGCACCCGACAAAAAAATGCAGAAATTCGCGCACTTATTCGCGGCTCGTGTTTATTTTTAGATTTACAACAGGTTAATTTATGTACAGTCTTAGTATCTTACAAGCACAATAAATTCAGATTCCCTCATTGTTATGATACAGCATGTTATACATACTGAGGTTTCCACTTTTTATACAACGTCTGTCGTCACGGAGAACCCCAGAGTACTGACTGAAGGATCGCTCCGCGGCGACACTGTTAACCGGCACGCTCAGACAACTGAGAGCGATGCCGGCCAAGTTCGGAAATCTGGGTGCTGCATTTACCCAGAACTCGACTGGATGCAAGGACGCTCTAAGCTCTTCCGGGCGTGAAAGATACAACTGGAGCTCCGCTTTGGCTAGGTTGTCGTCCTCGAACCATCTCACGTTCTTGATGACGAACTCAGCAGGAATCTCAGTTGTACTCAGGTTGGACGGATCGAAAACACGGCAGGCACGAAAAAAGTCAGCGGCCGGTTGCCTGAACTTGGCCGTAGCCTCCCCCGAAAGATAATTTCGCAATCTTTCAGCAGATTTTTTGGAGTCGCGATCCTGGTAACTTCGAGGTTTCCTTCATGAGCCGCAAAAACTTCCATCCATTCGATGAGCAGGGCCATGTCTTCAGAAACTAGGTGCGCGCTCACTTCGTTGCTTTCATACTTCGTTAAAGCTTCCATGATACGAGGGGCGTATTCCCTCAACTGGGCTAGCTGAGTTTCGACGCAAGGGGAGGCGCAGAGGTCTCTTGTTTCCGAAAGCGAACTGCTCGAGCTCCCTTCCATTTCTTTGGTGAAAAACTCGTGGTAATTCTCAAGATACTCCGCGTGGAAAAGGGCTGCCCGGAACCAACTATTCCATCGGGTAAGGACTGGAACTGGAGGGAGCTTTTCGATTTTCCCGTTATCCCTCAGAAATTGTTTGAACCTTGCTTTCCGAGCCGGGCAAGCCGTGAAGGCTCTCTTTGATGCTGCAGACAAGCTTATTCACCGTGCGAAACGACGAGACCCACTCTTCGCAAACAAGATTCAAGAGGTGAGCGGTGCAAGTCACATGGGTTCCGTTGAGGAAGATGTACTTCAATGAATCTTTCCAAGCTTTGTTCATATACGTAGCATTGTCTGTTACGAAAGCACTAACGCGTAAGGGAGAAATCTCGTATCTTTGCAAAATCTTCAGGACCGCATCGCTGACCGTTTTGAAATTTGTACTTTCCAAAACGTTGCATTCGAGGAGAAATGCCTTCAACGTTGGCTCTTCGACCTCTTCACAACATGGAATCGCCAGAACGTTGAGGATGTAACGATCCTCTCTGTCTGTTGTTTCGTCGCAAACGATCGCGACGGATCTACTTCCTCCGAGAAGTTCCTTCAAGTTCCTGACGTGGACATTGAATGCTTTCGGAAGGTAATTTCGACGAAGATTGCTCGCCCAAGGGATGACCCCGCAAGACTTCATATTCGATTGGAGGAACATCCGCAACTTCGGATTATCGAGGGTATGCAACGGGATGTTAGCGGCCGCAAAAGCTTCAACGAGACTCACAAGCGTCGATTCCTTCTCTAGCTCTGCTTCACTTCGTTGGCCGAGAGCTTCACTCAGACTGACCTGAAGCTTAGCTTTCTTCGATAGAGACTCCTCCAAGGACTTATATCTTCGTTTGTGACCCTGGGTCTCAAGGTGTTTACCGCAGCTGTCTTTCCTCGTATGGTCCACAGCGATATTACACGTGCTACAAAACAGCGATCCCCCGATGCATGGAATTGATTGTCTGCGAACTCTTTCGCCCGCATTTCGGGGGTCACATGTATGGCCGTTCTGTTCCTTCTTCTCGGAGCGCTCAGTAATTCGGATGGGTGGCGCTCGGAAGCGCGGTCTCTTTTATGATCTGCCGCGGAGTAGCCTTATCGGGGGGTCATTCGTCTCCGAGGCGAGGTTCCATAATCGAATCTTCAACTTACGGTCGGCTCACACAAATGGTCACACGGAGTATCCTACATTTAATCTCGCGGAACTTCCGAGATCGTTCGATTTCACCATCAGATAGCGCTCGCGATTCCTCTGCGTTGTTGACACGGCGAACGTTTCGATCGTTTCTCTGGCCTCGCCGAACGCACACTTGGCGAACATTTCCGACTTGCGCGGCGTCAAGAAGCGCGGACAGACACTCCGCCGATTGCAATCAGTATCGTTTCGCATCTAGTTTCGAAGCTTCTACATTGTCTGCTCGAGCTCCTCCGATACCAAGGTACAAGGAAAATGACTTCAGAGTTGATTAGAGCGTTAAAAAATAATTTCGAATAGAAACACGGAAATTCGCGCACCCGACAAAAAAATGCAGAAATTCGCGCATTTATTCGCGCGTATCGCGCGCGCGATGAATGCCCAGCCCTAATCATGGGCTCGAGATAATTGCGAGGGTAGAATCTCAGATAATTCGATTGAATTCGATGATTATCCGGAGAAAAGGATCGAGAAAGTCCGAGATTAGGAAACATGCCCACTCAGGCACTATGTCCAAGATTCTAGATGGAAACGGGAAAACACGTCTAATTGCTCTCTCCAGATGCCAGACGCAGCAGTTTTCGATGCACAGGGGGAAAGAAGAGCGTGAATGAGCGAGCTTCTCAATGGGGCTGCAAGTGCGCCTCGTTCGCTGATTCTCATCGCTGCAATTAAATTATGTGCGTGCGTGGAGCGGTCCCTTATTAATTTTATGTTTCTGTTTTCGTTGTAAACAATGTGATCATCGTGCTAATATTCCAGCAGCTTTCTCCTCTTAGACTATGAGATGGGTCCGTGAACTCAATGAGCTAATCAAACGGGATCGCTGGCAGCGTTCCTCTCGCGGAACGTACACATGTGAACTTGAACCCGCCGTTGGGAAACTCGCGGTAGGCACGCCATGACGATTCTCGCCGTCCTGGGGAATCTTGGCGCGACGTCCAGCCAAACTCGGAACTCTTCGCGAGAAAATTTTCGTTCCCGAGACGGCCGCACCGCCATCGTGGAATCTTGAAGGCCTGGGGAAGCGAAAATTTTGTACTCGTGGTCGGGACAGCCCATCAGACGATAAAACCACGCGGACAAGAATGCAGAGACCTGCTTGGTTGCTCCTTTGTGAGTTCTCGTCGGCACAACAAATGATCGCTGGTCGCTGAACGATTCACGCAGAGTTGAAAGCGATTGAGGTACGAGCTCGATCGCCATGGTAGAAAAAATCCAGCTCGAAATGAGCGATACGGCGCACAAAACCAAGAGCATAGCCGTCTCAAATCCGTCACAGCAAGAACAACAACAAGAGACGCCGCAGTCACCGATTTCCAGGATTAATTTTGATGCCGAAACACATCAATTTTCCAAAGTCCACATTCGCGTCTCGGAACATAGGCTGGTGAATGGTGCGGCTGTCCGGTCGCGAAAAGGATAGAAAGACCCGGAGTCTATGCGCAGAATTCATTCCGAGAGATTTGGCATGAGCGACGCGAGTGTGACAAGTGATACCACCAGGATAATCTGTTGGGATGGCTGACCATTCCGAATGAAGTTCGCGTCGGGTACTCATGGGTCGTTTCCAGCGTCATAATTCTCAGTAATTTTCCGGCGAAAGTCGTTCCTTCCTCGGCTCGTCGAATGGTTGGTCCAGCCGGTGATTCATTCGCTTGACGTACATAGATCCAGCAAAAACGGGCGGGTACGGATGCACAAGTCGATTTAGCAAAATCACTTCACGGAATAGCTTCCGCTCGCTCTCAACGGGTGGAGAACGTCGAGGGTACCGGCTGGAAGCCTTGTCACGCAGTCCCCTTGAACAATTTTCTCGGAAGTTCACGGGGAAACCCCGACTTTCTAACGATATCAGAATGCATACACATATTCTCCAGATCAGCCCAGATCGAGTCGTTCGGTTCCGAATCCGACGAAAAATCCAATCCAAGAGATGTTCGTTCCGTGCCTGATGGTCTCACGATTGAAAGTTCACTTTGCGAAAAAGACACTCGTGAATAATCAACCAGTCGACCTTGATAGCCTCGTCGGATCCTTTTCCGCACTCCCGACTCCCGACTGCTCAGAATTTTCGAGCGAGTCCTTTTCTCACTCTCTTCCCAAGCCATGCCGAGATCGATGGCTTAGACAGCCAGAGTCACATTAATTAGGAGAACCGTTATGATGACCGCATCACGAGCCAGTTACGCGTCCGCGCACAGTCACAGAAAACAAACTCCATCGGTATATGCAAAATCCAAACCATGATTATCTCGAGTAGAAGCCGATCGGCGCTTCCAGGGCACGTGAGTCATGCTACAATGATAACACAAGATCCGACACCTCAGCCACAGAAAAAATCACGTCTTCCGACGAATCAGAAAAAGCTGTAAATAGAATCCAGGAAAAAAATATCTCTGACTGAGCAATTGGATATTCGTCGAGTGACTCTGCGTCTCATCAGAGCTTCCAGATCGCGATCGATCGTTTCGGAGGCGCGACCAGCCTGGAGCCGCGATGTCTTGCCGCGATCGCTTACGAAACCCTTTACGAACATGACAAAGAAGCGCATGAGACCGATCCAGAGAAGAGCCAGCGGATGGGAAGCACTCTCGGAGCACGCATCCCGTTTCGATCCAAACGGTGTTTCCGGCCTGATATGCATCCTGATAAGGCCGGATATCCCTAGTACCGATGCGATGAGACAGGGGCGAGCTCCCCGATAGAGGATGGAATCCAAGCGTGATTTAAATTTGAAAGGTATCCAAGACTTTGGTTTTCGAAGCGAGAAATGAAAAATTGCTTCTTCCAAAGGGACGTGTCTAGTTTTGGCATCTTCGCCAAATCGTTTTGGAACGGGTATGCTTGCACAACATGCTGCGCATCTTTACCGCTGGCTCGTCTCCTTTCTACATGATACTCACTCTGGAAAGCCCAAGTATCGAGCTTCCGGAGACCACGAATCACCCGGAGGAGGCTGCGGACACACTTAAGCTCCAAGTTGGTGTTGGCAACCTCCAACATGTACGGGAGGAATTGCCTCAGCAAATGATCCACCTGTCCCTGTAGAGCGGCGTCGTACTTGTTCCAGAGCTCGACGATATTTGCCGAGATCTCCTCGTGGAGCTCATCGTCACTTTTATCCATGGGGTTGGGGACATGGTTCTTGAGAATTTTACTAATGAGTGCCACTTTATGTTGAAGGGCCTCGATCTCGGCGTCTGCGAGAATGCCCTGAACATGATATACGAATAAACAGAATAACGTCGCGACCGACCACCTCATCGTTTTCGTCTGTGGACAGAACATTCGCTAGAGATAAAAGCGGCGTCGGTGAGGGCCGAGTGAGGATTCTGATGGAGCAGAAAGGGAATCTCACCGCGCAGTCGAATACCGCTCAAGAGGCAGCGGTACGGCTGCTGGCTGATTGATGAGCTTAGCGTGGTCAGCTATATCCCCTCGAGAGCCACCTACCGACTCGAGTGCACGTCTGCGCTTGCGGAACGTTCTCGGCTCTTGATGACGAGCCGAAGACTGTTAGCCGAGTTTCTCGGAGAATCCAGGCTACATCCTGTTTGTCATGACGCTCAACCAGTGATATGATTTCGGTTTCCCTCGGGAAGAACGAGACGCCATTCACGATTACAAGATTCACGTAACCAATAGAGCTGATTCAGTTGGAATTCCGGTCGACTAATTTTGACAATGCTATTGCTCATGGTTCCTTCGATATTTAGGATGACTCGGTCAGCAGAAGTTGTACGGAGATAGGAGTGGATTCTCCGTCACGATGACGGTTGCCGTCTCACAGCTCTGAGAATTTCCTGCGCCCGTTTGACAAAGCGTCGAGTGGCGGACTGGACCGCATTGGCATTGAAAGGTGAACGAGCGGAGGTTTGGGTCTGCAGTTGACCATTCCTCACGGAAACACGGTGGGCTTCTTCCCACATCGGGCAGATGCCGAGAAGGATTCCCGAGGTGATGCCATTGCTCAGTCGAGCTCTGGTGCCGTAGCCCCCCGCGAGAGGTCCTCGCGTGGGAGGCGTGAGGAGCTGAGAAGAGTGGTTTCGATGCTCTCACTCCCCGCAATCGCTGGTCGCGAGCCTCTTCTTTCACGAACCCCGTACTTGAGGACGGATCTTGAGGGAGCGAGAACCATCGGGGCTTGATTTCCGAAAGTCATCGATTCCGCAGCCTGATTCTGGGCCGATCCGCTCTTTCTCCCGTTTTGCGGAAGATTTCACGCGAGTTCGCGGGTCGAGAGAATACGGACACTCCTGAGAGTGGAATGAGAAAATTCTCCGGCTTTAATTCGAGAAGCGGAGGAAATCTCCATTGCCCATGTTCTGCAAACCGCGTGTTTGCGGACGCAAATCACGGCTCAGGGCCGGAGAGTAGTTCAGCTAAATAGATGAGCATACAGCAAGAGTCCCAACGATTGGTATTCCCGATATTTCGTGAGCCAAGAAAATCGCCACGAGCGGAGATTCTCCAGCGGAAAGAATGGAAATGTCTCAACCCTTGATCAAGATGTTATCCCGTCCGATTCGCTCATCAATGCCTTGTATAGTATCCTATGCTACGCGAAATCCCAATGATTAACGTCGAAAGTTCGCACTCAATTCTCGGCAGTGAAACGAAGAAATATGCTCGTGCTCCCTCGATAGACAATTTTTCTCGGTTGAATGGATTCTGTTCAGAGCGCTTCTCTACCAAGCCTCTGTTCTGAGTCTCCTGAATCTCTGCTGAAACAAATAAACGTTCTTTGGTTCTCCGCCGTCTAGATCGTGCCCAGCCGGATAGTGTCCGTCGGTGTCGTGCTCACACCACACTCTGATGAGCACAACATACATATGTATGTCGGAAGATTTGGGATAATAGTCTCTTGAAATCGTTTGAGCTGAATGTGCCTCAACGACATAAAACAGGTTTGAAGTGATTGCGGTAAGACCGAATTTTCGAATTTGCCCACCCCCGGAAAGTTCATCCAGGGAGTCCGCAAATCACGTCTTTCCCGGAAAGTCCATCCCGAAATGGGCCTTTCCCGGAAATTTGCCCACCGAAAAACGCGAGTTATCGGGACTCCAGAGTATCGTAACTAGGAATCGACTTCGAGGTGACTATTGGCACCAAGCACGAGGAACAGCTCCGATCTGAGATCATCCGGATCGTACGACCGGAATACCCTCTCATTCAACTGTCTCGCTGGATCGATCTCCTGTTGCTGGTGGGATTCTCCAGCGGCTTAAGCGTTGACCAGGTGAGACGTTTCCCTCGCAAGAAAGCGCACGCGAGCTCCCCGCGTAAAAGTTCTCACCTTTACGCCATCGTTGAAGTTCGTTCACGCGTAAGATGATGGGCAGAATACTGAACTTCTCATGTCACGCTTGAAAGAAGCCTCCAAGTGAATCATTGTCTCGAATCATGAAAACAGTGACGTAAACCTCTCGATAATAAAAGCGGAATCGCATGGAGATCTTCACGCAAGACCTCGGCTGAGATCTTTTCGATCTGAAATTCCATGGATACTTTTATTTGCAGCGCGAGCTGTTTTTCATCGCCTATGCACACGGCTCTGGGTCGGACACCGAGCTCCAGTGGAAATGAGATCAGAACAGCAGCAAGGCACGGCGGAGGGGGGGCTTCAGTCTGCCCCGGGAAACTTTTCCTCCGGGGGCCCTCCGGGAACGGGAGGGGGGGGCGCTTCGTCTGGAGGGCGAGGAGAAGACCGGTGAGGGGTGAGTTTCCTCGAGCACCTTAAAAAA